AGAGAGCATCCAATCAACTGATGGGCTCGAGTAAGATTGACAGTAGGGAAAGGAGCTTGGGGACATTGTGTGTCGGGGAGTGCTCTTGTTTGCTGGTGTTGTGAGTTTGGAACACGTTTTGGAATGTGTAGTTGAGAGTGGTGTTTTTATATGGCTGGACTGAGTTCATAAGGGCTAGAAGGAATTCTGCTAAGGAAGAGCTGCACAGAAGTGCTGATACTTTGGGAGTCTCAAAATGCTAGTGATTACTTTTAATGATAAATTACTATAACAGTGAGTTTGCAGTATATGTATAGGACTCACCTAGCCCAGTGTGAATACTCAAGACCCAGTAGTTTTTTAGAAAAGTGACAAAGATTTTGGTAGACACTTTTCAAAAGAAGATACACTAATAGACTATGTACATGAAAAGGTGCTCAACATCATTAGTCATCTGAGAATTGCAAATCAGAACCACAGTGAGGTATCACTCACGCCTGCTAGAATGGCTTGACAGTACAACAGACCAACAAAAGGCTTGACAGTACAGTTGTCAACAACGTGCACGTCATACATTGCTGGTGGGTGTTTCAGGTGATAAAATAAAGAAAACTTTGAACTGGAATGTTCGTAGTATTCATAATTGTTGGGAACTGGAAATAGTCCACATGCCCATTGACAAGTGAATAGATAAATTGTGATACATTCACAGAATAGAATGTGACTCAGCAATTAAAAAAAAACGGAATAACAAGTACAGCAATAGAGTAAATCTCAAGGGGTGGAAGTCATGGTATTGTGGATTAAGCTACCACTTGGGACACCTGCGTCTCCTATCAGAGTGCCTCGAATCAAGTCCCTCCTCCACTTGTGATCCGGCTTCCTACTCACCTGGGAGGCAGCAAATGTGACTCAAGTACTTGGGTTCCTGGCTTCGACCTGACCTACTCCTTGCTCTTGCAGCCAGCCATTTAGAGGGAGTGAAGCAACAGATGGAAGATCTCTGCCTCTAACCCCTCTGTCTGCCACTCTGCCTTTCAAACAAAACACACAAAACTTAATAAGAAGTAGAGATTTCAAAAAGTACACTTACAGAAAAACCTTACTCTGTGATTCTATCAGGAATACATTACTCAGATAGTCCCTAGCTTATATTGGTTCGAATTCATCTTAAGATTGTTAAACTTTATGATAATGGGAAAGCAATACTCATTCAGTAGAAACTGTATTTTATTTATTTTATTTAAAATTTTTTTTTTAATTTAAAAGTCAGATATACAGAGAGAAAGAATCTTCCATCTGTAGGTTCATTCCCACATCATTGCCATGGGGTGTTTCTAAATGGAGTATTTAAGGTAGTTAAGAAATTAGGTACAGTAAGTACTTTTTTTTTCAGTACCAATAAGTCTTGATTTATTCAATGTTATTTTCCCAGGGAAAGGAGAAAGGGTGGGGAAGTCAGTATATGTGTTACAAGGTGATTAGAAAACAGGAAAGTACAGCAAAAATCATCCAGTACAGAAAAAAAAAATCAACCTTCAGATACACAAACCCCAAGGATGGGGTTCCCCAACCCCAGGAGGCTTAGTGTCCTGCAGGTTAGTAATGAGGAGACCTTGAAAGGAACAAGCTTTCCTACCCTCCCTCCCCATAAATTCAAGATTTCACACAAAACTTTGGTTTCTAGTGTAAGCATGGAGTTGCATTCATCCATCTCCTATCAAATAATCTTGTGGCCAGTTTGACTTAAGTTTCTTGCACCTGCATAAAAGTTCCTGCACCATAGTTCCCTTCTTGGTCTCCAAACTCCACTTCCCGCATGGAAGGTCCCCAGTAGCTTCTCTTCTTTAGGATACAAATGAAGTAGGCTTGATTCACCCAAAGACATCAGTGTTTTAAATTTTTGGCATGTGAATCACACATAAGGAAATGGCCTTGACTTGGGAGGTTGGGAACGAGGGATTCTTTTTAGGATTTTGGCATGAATCCTTTAGGGGTGTGGAGATACCCCAAGAATTTATGTGTTAAATGTGTAGGGTTTTCTTTTGTGGGTGGAGGAATGGAGAAGAGAGGAAGAGTAGGCATCACATTTTAAGAATAGGATGGGAGCGGGGAAAACACAAAAGGAAAGATGGTTTGAGATCCCCACTTATGTTCCAGATCCTTTGGCTTGGTGCAGAACCTTCTGTCAAAGCTGCTTTGGCTACAAAAAGAAGTTTGTAAATAGTACAACCCCGAAAGAACATGGAGAATTTTATTTATTTGTATTGGAAAGACGGATATACAGAGAAAAAGAGAGACATAGAGAAACACTGGCTCACCCCCAAAGTTGCCACAGTGGCCAGAGTTAAGCTGATCCGAAGCCAGGAGCTTCTTCTGGGTCTCCCACATGGGTGCAGGGTCCCAAACATTCTCTACTGCTTTCCCAGGCTAAAATCAGGAAGCTGGATGGGAAGTGGAGCAGCTGGGACATGAACCAGTGCCCATATGAGATCCCAGGCATGCAAGGCAAGTATTTAGCTACTAAGCTATCACATTGGGCTCTAGTAAATGCGTTTTTAACTTTTTTCTGGAATCATCAAGACTTGGCCCATTGTACATTGGGTAGCATCTGAATATGACTGCATTTATATGAAGTTCTAGAATGAATAAAAGTGCAAAATTAGCTCAAGGCTTTAGAACAAATGAGTGATTATATTAGGTAGCATTTTGAGATTGCATATTGTCTGTAAAGGAATAGACTTATGTTTTTCCTCCCTTTTAAAACACTGGTAGTGAAAAAGCATTATAATTTTGTTATTGAAATTAATAATTTTGTCATCTTACAACTTGCCTTTCATTGTCTTTGTGACCTTGATTGCTTCTCAGCCTTGTGGCTAAGATCAGTGTCTTTGTGACCTTGGACGAATTATTTAACCTTATCTGCAAAACAGAAATGATAATGGTACCTGCCTGAGATAAATGTTGTCATCACTGCTACCTCATTAATCAATGGTGATGGTTTATTTTGGTAGCAGTAGTATTTGCCAGCCTAATAAGTAATGATTTTCTACTCAAGTCCCTCTTAATCTTAAGGAGTGTTATATTTTATATCTTTTTTTTTTTTTTAGATTTATTTTTATTATTTTTTCATTGGAAAGGCGGATATACAGAGAGGAGAGACAGAGAGGAAGATCTTCCATTCGATGATTCACTCCCCAAGTGAGCGCAACGGGCCGATACTATGCCGATCCGAAGCCAGGAGCCTCTTCCGGGTCTCCCACGCGGGTGCAGGGTCCCAAAGCTTTGGGCCGTCCTCAACTGCTTTCCCAGGCCACAGGCAGGGAGCTGGAAGGGAAGCGGGGCTGCCGGGATTAGAACCGGTGTCCATATGGGATCCCGGGTGTGCAAGGCGAGGACTTTAACCACTTGCACCACCGCGCCGGGCCCTATATCTTTTTTTTAAAGATTTATTTTTATTATTATTTTTTTTATTGGAAAGGCGAATATACAGAGAGGAGAGACAGAGAGGAAGATCTTCCATCCGATGATTCACTCCCCAAGTGAGCGCAATGGCCGATACTATGCCGATCCGAAGCCAGGAGCCTCTTCCGGGTCTCCCATATGGGTGCAGGGTCCCAAAGCTTTGGGCCGTCCAGACTGCTTTCCCGGGCCACAGGCAGGGAGCTGGAAGGGAAGCGGGGCTGCTGGGATTAGAACCGGCGCCCATATGGGATCCCGGGCGAGCAAGGCGAGGACCTTAACCACTGCACCACCGCGCCGGGCCCATATTTTATATCTTAAAAAGGGGTGAAGGGCCCAGTGCAGTAGCCTAGTGACTAAAGTCCTCACCTTGTATGTGCTGCCATCCCGTGTCGGCACCGGTTCTAATCCCGGCCACTCCATTTCCCATCTAGCTCCTTGTTTGTGGCTTTACAAAGCAGACAAGGGCAGCCCAGAGCCTCGGGACCCTGTATCCACATGAGAGGCCTTGAAGAAGCTCCTGACTTTCTAATAAAAAGAAGAAAATTTCTTTTAAATGCTGTTTAAGTTCATTTAAAAAAAAAAGGCGGGGGAGAATCATGGATTAGGTCTTACAAGGTTCCTATGGCTCTTCAATATTTTCTGGGCAGATAACTTATTATTTAGTCTACCACAAACAAGATATTCTGTCTTTAATACATGAAAGTAATAGAATTGATTGCTTTATTGGAAATTCTGTTCACCTTTCAGCCAAAATCATTGCAGCTCTGATTTGTCTGTAGTCTGCTTTCCTGTTATGATCATTGCTTTTCTTCGTGAAGACTGACTCCATGCTTTTCAGGGGTGCCGAACCCCACTTTTTTTTTAACATTTTAAATGGCTAAGCAAAATTTGAGGATATTTTCCAAATGGAAATTTCCTTGATATGAAGATAGTTCCTCAAAGTTGGGTCAGAGTTGGGTCTGTTTGCTAAGATGGGTTACTGTAGAAACTTCTGTAGCATTCATTTAGATACTGAGTGTATTTTAATAAATGGAATAGTGCCCTGATTTTGAGACCTAGCTTAGGTGGTTTGAAGTTATTGTTCAATATGTTAATATATTAATTCTTATATCCTTGTGTGAATCTGCAATTTTGAAGCTTGTCAATGAAAGGGAAAGGAAAACTGGGAAGAAGTAAGATGATCAGCCTTATCAAAGATTGAAAAATGTGTGAGAAAACATTGGAAAGGTGATTTGCATGGTTCTCCGACTGGGCGTGGCCTGGGTGTGGCCTTGCTCGGGTGTGGACTGGGTGTGGCATTGCTTTGGGACTGAGATATAGTGAGTAAAAGGATATTTGCTTCTAGTTTTGTGTCCCCCATCATTTGATTTTCAGGTTCGTGAAAGTTGAGGATGTGTGAAAATGGTTGAACCCAAATGGACATCAGGAAAAGCTTTCATTCAGTTATGCATCCATTTAAAAAGCAGTTATTTTGTCATTTGCATTTTTCTTTGAATTTTTTTCTTAAATATGTTTTAAAGCCTTGTAACTGATTCATTTTTCAACTTTCATTGCAGCACCTGATCAACTTTCTAGCAGGAGAACGATCATGGAGGTGGTGCCAGCTGAGGTGAATAGTTTGCTTCCAGAGGAGATAATGGACACTGGTATAACTTTAGTGGATGATGATAGTATTGAGGCTGTTATTGTTTCATCCCCAATTCCCATGGAGACAGAACTGGAAGAAATTGTCAACATAAATTCTACTGGTGACTCTACAACCACGCCCATTTCCACGGAGCCAATCACAGTGTACAGTAACCACACTAACCAAGTTGCAGTCAACACCACAGTTACTAAAGCAGATTGTAATACCACAGTGAAACCAGCTTTTCAAAGTGGCCTTCAAAAACTTGGTGCTCAGACTCCTGTGACTATATCAGCCAATCAGATCATTTTAAACAAAGTATCACAGACATCTGATCTTAAACTTGGCCATCAGACCCTTAAACCAGATGGACAGAAGTTAATTTTAACAACTTTGGGCAAGTCTGGTTCACCAATTGTTTTAGCACTACCCCATAACCAACTGCCCCAGGCTCAAAAAGTTACAACTCAGGCACAGTCAGGAGATGCTAAGTTGCCACCGCAGCAGATTAAAGTAGTAACCATTGGAGGGAGGCCAGAGGTGAACCCTGTCATTGGTGTCTCGGCACTGACCCCAGGAAGTCAACTGATTAATACTACAACTCAGCCCTCTGTGTTACAGACCCAACAGTTAAAAACAGTGCAGGTAAAAAAAAAGGGGGCTTATTAATTAAAATGCATGTTAACACAGTCTAACTGATTTCTTAGTTGTGTTTGTAGAGTTCTTAATTGCACAGTTGTTTCTGAATTGTTTTGAATGTTTGAGTAATGGTGCGGGATTTTTTGCTTTTTTGATGTATCTGATGGTTGTGAATGAAAAATTTTGCCAGAAAATTTAGAACGAATTGAATTTTTATTGAAATTGCATATGGGTTTATATGGAGCCTTTTACTCATTTAAAATTACATTTTATTCTTAGTAATAGCTTAATTATAAGGATACGTTGATGGTATTAAAAAGCTAGACTTGCTGCAGGGCTATCAAAAAGTCATTCAGACAGTTATTATTATTATTACTTTTTCTCCCCCCAGTTAACAGATAGCCAAAGGTGAAGAAAATATTACAGCTCCTGAAAACTGGGGGCTGGTGAGAGTGCATGCTCGCCAGTGTGTTCCTGTTTTTGGGGGGTCGACTGTGTGTTATCACTCCTATTTGTAATATGAGCAAGACAATGATATATAATGGAGGATAACAGGTTTCAGAGTCCAAACGGGGTGTCAACTTCCCTCTGACTCCTAGACTAACCTTGGGAACTTCTTGGTAATTCTGAAGTTCTGACTTTTAAGATGGCTGTTTGATCATGATGAACTAGCCAGCGCCGTGAACTTCCAGGAACTGAGGGTCTCGCCACGTTGTACCTGTTTCTGTGATTAGGACTCTTCATCACAGTTGCCCTAAGGAGCAGAATGACCCACTATGACCAGGAAACAAAAATGCATTTCTTGCTTGGGAGAGTCGCCTTGTTGAAGAAAGGAGAAGGCATGAATGAGAAGTGAAGGAGGAGTAGGAGAGTTTAGGGGAAAATGAGCACTTTCAGCTGACAACAAGTAATATTTTGATTACTATGTTGGCAAAAGAATTAAAAAGTTATTTTTTGTGGGCTTTGTGTTTGACAACTTCATAGTTTGCAATTTGCCAAGTCAAATCTCAACCTTTAGTGCCCTTTTCCTTGGTGCTGCCTGTCATCAGTCACTGGTCTCTGGCTTCCTTTTCTTCATATTTGTGGACAGTTTCTTGAGTGAGATAGTCTCTCACATCAAATATCTTGTCCTTGGTTTTGAAGCTTATTTTGTATTGATGTTCCAGAGTTTACGTGGCTTTGGCAATATGGGTCAGAACACGTTCACAATGACCTGATAACATGAATCACATTTTTAATTTCATTGGTGAGAGCAATGTACATATGTGTACTTTTTATGATTAGTATACTTGTAAACCACTAATTTTCTATAATAATTCTGTAAATACTGGCAATAAAAAAACAAAAATTTGGGTCTCTTTATTGTTATTTTTTTTATAAAACTATTTCTAAATTTTAAAAAATAATTTGTTTTAAAAGAGAAACAAAAAAGTCCATTTAGAATATTGTTCTACTTGTCCGAATAATTTTCGGGCAACTTAGATGTTCCCATTCTGAAGGTAAACTGCGAAACTCTGAAATGCTGTATGTCTGGTTTCCCTTGCCAAACCACAGTGTTTCATTTGGTGTTACCTGGTGTATGTAATACTCTGTTTATTCCCTAAACAGTGCTCAGCATTGTCTTAGATTTAGTGAAGGTGTTGTGACTGCTGGGTGTGGACAGGTGTAAGAAGGAGGTCCATGTTGAGAAATGGAAGAAACGGGATCATTGAGGCCAGAGGCATTTAGAAAGGTTTAGTTGCTATAAATTCAAGATACATGAACACTGTCCCAGTTGTTATGTGCGTAGTATAAAAGAGTAACACATCATTAGCATCTGTGGAAACATGACTCCTCCTAGCTCCTACATCTCCCCAACCCACCAGACACGGCTTGCAGTATCAGAAGCTCGCAGTATCAGGAGCGCTCAGAAATGTTCATGGAAAAGCTGGAATTAAAAACCGGGGTTATTTTGGTGCAGAAATTCCTGAAGTCTACCCATAGCATTTTCATAGCATGCATGAGCTTGTCGAAGGTCACACATACTATTTGATGACACATTTAGCTACCTTATTGTAAATTTGTTTTTCATTTTTGTCTTAAACTTCTGGTTGAATAAACCTGTTGCAAATCAGTTTTTATAGTTTGTAGTGATGTTGCTCTAGAGTAGTTTAGAATTCAAAATGCAAAAAATCATGGTTTTTTAGTGGAACTGGAAATTATTAAGTTTCAACAGAGCTCTCTAAAGAAATGTAACCACAAAGGCAAGATGAGAGCATCCATTTGAATAATTAATATAATTTTAGTTACACTGTTCATGTTTTTCTCCTTCTTGGTATCTGTTTATGTAATCAGATGGTTATACCACTCAACAAAAATGGGGAAACAGCTGTCTTATTGGAAAGGCAGATTAACAGAGAGAAGGTGAAATTGAGAGATCTTCCATCGCTGGTTCACTCCCCAAGTGGCCACAACACCTTAACCTGAGCCAATCCAAAGCCAGGAGCCAGGAGCTTCTTCTGTCTTTCACATGGGTGCAGGGTTCCAAGGCATTGGGCCATTTGCTGCTGCTTTCCCAGGCCACAGGCGGGGAGCTGGATGGGAAATGGAGCAGCCAGGATGAACCTGAACTGGTTCCCGTAAGTGATCCTGGTGCATGCAAGGCAAGATTTAACCACTGTATTATCATACCAGGCCCCAACAGTTCAAACTCTTTATCTCTATGGCTAAGGTTATTTTTTCTGGAGATGGACTTCTGGGAATATTGATACTTCTGACTGTTGAGGTTGTTAATTATATTTAAATATATGTGTGTGTGTGTGTTTGAATTCTGTCTTTAGAATTTTGGGTTTGTAAACACATGTGAAAACTAATAGTTTCCCTTTATGTTTACTTAAATTGGTGTAATCTTTCTAAAATATAATTATGGATTTATTTGAATATGTTATAATTTTTAAGCTGGTATTTTGTGATATAGTAATGAGCCACTTTTTGGTGATTTGTATTTCATGTGCATTTTGTTTTGTCCATAATATATTCTGAGTGTAAGAAAATAATCTGGATATAGCATTGTGTCTGTTATTTAATTTAATTTGTAATTTGAGCACATAGTACTAATGTATTGCATTATTCTGTGATCTGTGATAGCTTCTGGAGTATTTCTTTTTTTGTTTTTTGATTTAAACTTTAAGAAAATTTGCCTCTGGTGTCTTTTTGCTGTTCAAGTAGGTAATTTTTTATTCGTTTAAATCTTGTTCCTAGTAGTAGTAACTTTCTCGATGTTCCTATATTTCCTATAATAGTATGTTTTATTTCCTATAATAGTACCCTTCTCAATGTTCCTATATTTCCAGAGATAAAATTAATGTTGAATGTCCTTCAGAACTTGGAAATTCTATGACTTTTTAAATCAGAGGTAAATTTTTGCTTCTGACTTTTAGAAGAAGCTATGTCTTTGCATTATGTTGACAGTTTCAACATAAAAATATTGGTAATTCTGTATTTCCTGACTTGTGGAAAATTTTAGTTTGGGTCAAAAATGTGCCAGTGTAATTTCAGTTTGAAGGTAGACGAACTGCAGGCCCTCTTTTGAAGGAGTTGAAAGTATAGTAACCAGGATTTTTGTAAACAGCATCTCAGAACCTTGCCCTCTATAACAGTCTTCGTTCTGCAGTGCTTGTTTCTTTGCATCCTGGGCTTTAACTTGCAGCATGCTTCCTTTATCTACTCCTGATATATAGAGCTAAAGCTGAGAACCTAATCATAAGCCAGTCTCTAGTTATTTCATTTGTTTTTTGCATCCAGTGACCAGTGTAACTGTATGTAGGTGGTCTGTCATTTATACTTTCTTAACTTATTCTTTCAGTTTTTTTATTACCAAATAATTTGCTGTTTTGAAAAAGAGATAATGCTGCTGTGCCATAATGTTTTATTACTAAACATTAATTTGATTTTCTTCACTTGTATCTACCCAAGAAACTAAAAGGAGGACTTATAATAAAAAGCAAAGGTGCAGGTCAGTGTGGCGTTGAGAATGTGATCAGTCTGATAATTTAATGGATGCATTTTAAGAATTTTTAACATTAACACATAGATATATTTTGTTAAATGAACTGATTTCATATGGACTTTTTGTCTAAATCTTTTTTTTCTAATTTTGATTGAAAAGATGTTTTTATTGATGCACCTGGTCTTCATAGTTATTTGTATGTTTCAGATTGCTAAGAAGCCTCGAACACCAACTTCTGGCCCAGTAATCACGAAGCTGATCTTTGCAAAACCAATTAATAGTAAAGCAGTTTCAGGACAGACAACTCAAGTATCACCACCAGTCATTGCAGGTTATATTTCTTTATAGTTTACTCAGCTATATACTTACCTTGCTTTTAGGCTTAAAAGTAGCCATTCTGCCACCTTAGAAATGTTTGAATGCAATAATAGCTTATTATAAATCAGACTAGTTTGTAAGAAATGTTATTAAATGAATGCTTCATGCAAAATGTTTTATCTCAAAATCAGCCCATTACTTTAGTCATCTTAGAGTTTGGGTAGAGATTTACCGTAAGTGTGGCAAAGTTTAAAATTGTGCTGATACTAATTAATATTCGTGTTACATTTACTTTGTGTCAAGTGCCATTCTTAACTCATGACATGTAGTTGTTTACATAGTCCTCTGGCGATCCTGTGAGGTGGATGGCTGCCTTTATATGTTCCATCCTACAATTTGAGTTTGAAATCTCTGATTCATTGATTCTTCTACTTTCTCATTAAGAATCACTTCCTTCTGTTCTGAAATTCTTTGTCAGTGTGGAGGTCATGACTCATCATGGTTACTCCCTTGCAAACGCCATTTGATTCTCTTTGCTCTGTATTGTAATGGCTTATTTTTTTTTCCTGGCAAGCAGCTATACAAATAGTTCTGTTCCTCTAGGAAAATCACAAAGCCATGGTGACTGTTCTTTAATTCAGAGCTATCCTAACATTTGCTGTTTGCCAGTTACATGACTGTTGCTAGTTTTCAATATTCTAAAAGCTTTTGTGGAAGCATCTGTGAATGGTAAACTGTTGACTTTCATTATGCTCATTCCCCATGGCTAGAATGTATATTTTGATGAAGTTTCTCTAGATGTAAACTTAATATGCTGCCATAAATGGCTGTACAATACTGATAATAGGTAACTCTGAAGTCAGTGACAATGACTTGTCATATTCCACAGTCTTCTCCTTTTAGCCAATGAAAGAAGAGCTGGAAAGGTAGTAGTAAGGGGCAGTGTTCAATGAGTGAGAGTTCTCTTTCTTTTGAGGTCCTCAAAAAGAAGTAGAGGATGCAGGAAGGAGACTGTTTTGAGGGCTGTGGTGGTGGCCATGGATGGCTCAAAGGAAAGATGGGAATGGATTTTGGTTTGGATCTGCTTTATGGGCTGCCAAGGAAAAGAGACTTGAAAGTTGAATGAAAAAGAGGCTGCCAGTCCCGTGGGAGTTTCTGAGTAGCTGCAGGCAGTTAGATGGGAAGTGATGCCTTAATGTCATTTTCTTTACTGTTTTCTGGGTTTGAGAATTTCTGTTACATTTCACTAATTGTTATTATTTAGTTCAGTTTGGAAGGATAATTCCTACTTTTAACTCCTTCTTAGGAGTCTTTTAAATTCATATAAGCCAGATTTTAAACTGCAAAAGTAGCTGTCCTATTAAATTATATCACAAGTAGATTCCATCAAACATATGTTGTAGCTAAAGCACTCTTTCAGAGTGCTTTCAACAGTTTTTTCATGACTTTTGGTCTTGAATTTTTTGTGTGTGTTTTGATCAAGATGAACTTCTATTGTGCACAATTATTTTTCTAAAAATACAAATCTGATCTGGTCCCAACCCTTGCTTAAAATGTTCTTGGGCTTATGCATTTCTTGGCTTCCCTAACTCAGTTTGAACAACAAATCCCAGTACTCTCTTAGCATTCAGAGTGTTGATGATCTAATCATACTTTTTAAAAAAATATTTATTTACTTTTATTAGAAAAGCAAATTTACAAAAAGGAGAGACAGAAAGATCTTTCATCTGCTGGTTCACTGCCCAAATGGCTGGAGCTGAGCTGATCCGAAACCAAGAACCAGCAGCTTCTTCTGGGTCTCCCACTCAGGTGTAGAGTCCCAAGGCTTTGGGCCATCTACTGCTTTCCTAGGCCACAATAGGGAACTGAATAGGAAGTGGAGCAGCTGGGACATGAACCTGGTCCCATATGGGATTCTGTTGCTTGCAGGGTGAGGATTAGCCAATTGGCCCATTACACTGGGCCCTAATGCATACTTTTTCATTCCCACGTCCTGTCAGCTCCATATCACTTGATAGATCATTTCCTCTCATGAGCTGGGTCTTGTCTCTTTTCCCTTCACCTGGGATTTCTTTCTCTGTGTTCCTCAAGTTAACCCTTTTACATTTTGGGTTACCCGTCTTGGGAATTTTTGACTCTGTGGTAGTCAGGTACTGTTCCTTCAGTCATTTCCTGTGTGTTCCCATAAAACTTGATTATGCTTAGCACAGAGTTGTCTTTAATTAAACTTTTAAATTTCGTACTAGCTTTTAACCTTCAGTCACATGCTTGGCTTTTCTTGTTTGACTCCTATGGCACTTAAGATCTTTCTTGATGGCGATTTGCCAACTACTTCCTCCTCCAAAAAATGATTTATATGTTTTTAGTAAAAAATTATACATAACAAATTGGACACTTTTAACCATTTGCAGGGGTGTCATCCAGTTGCATTATGTCTGTTCACATTATCGTACAGGTAGCACCACCGTCTATCTCCAATGCTTTTTTCATCTTGCGAGGCTGAAATCCTGTACTCTGTAATCAGTAATTCCCTGAACTGCTGATTCCTAGCCTGTGGCAAGCGCCACTGGCCTCTCCGTCTCTCTGGGTCCTTTCCCTCATATAAAGGTAGTATAAGGGTAGTCATATCGTTTTCATTCTCTTATGACCTACTTACTTCATTCACTATATGTCCTCAGGGCTTACACTTGTTATAGCATGGGTCAGAATTCCCTTCCTTTTTAAAAGGACAGTATTGTGCAAAGGTACTTCTTTTCTTTTTTTTTTTAAGATTTATTTATTTTTATTACAAGTCAGATATACAGAGAGGAGGAGAGACAGAGAGGAAGATCCTCCATCCGATGATTCACTCCCCAAGTGAGCGCAACGGCTGGTGCTGTGCCGATCTGAAGCCAGGAACCAGGAACCTCTTTCAGGTCTCTCACGCGGGTGCAGGGTCCCAAAGCCCTGGGCCATCCTCAACTACTCTCCCAGGCCACAAGCAGGGAGCTGGATGGGAAGTGGAGCTGCCAGGATTAGAACCGGTGTCCATATGGGATTCCAGCGTGTTCAAGGCGAGGACTTTAGCCGCTAGGCCATGCTGCAGAGCCCGCAAAGGTACTTCTAAAAGTTGATCGATACATGGAATTTAGAGGTCAGTTTTAGGGCAGGAGTTTGGCCCTGCTGTTGGGATGATGGTTTAGACCCCTGGATTCAATGGCTGCCTCTGGCTCCTGGCTCCAGCATCCTGCTGATTCAGAACCTGGAAATTGCACTGAGGGTTAAGCCATTGGGTTCTTGCTGCCTGTATAGGACACCCAGATTGGATTCCTGGCTCCCAACTTGGACCTGGTCCAGTCTCAACTGCCATGGATGTGTGGGACACATGCCTTTTTTAAGAACCCCCATTGTACTGTGTTATGGTGGCTCTTTCTTGCTGTGTTTCACTCCCTCCCTGACTTTGTTCCTCCTGCCCTTCCCACCTGCTTTAGTTGCTAGTGCAGTTTCTGGCACTGAGGTGTGGTTCCATAAATGTCTCTGCCTATTCATTTGTCTGCATCATGGAGGCAGAGTCGTGATAGGGAAAGGTCGTCATTGTAGTGATTTTCTGTGTGATACTTGATATGGGAGTTACTTGTTCATCTTGTTTCTATAAAAGATGAGAATCAGCTATCTCACAAGTTCTTTGAGATACAGAAACTTCCATTCTCAGAGCTCCCACGGTCACAGGTTGCTTCGTGGGAGCAAGCTGCATCCTCACATGGAATTAATTAATCTTTTACAAATATGTCCTTGTTCAAAGCCGCTAGCTGCCTGCCTCAGCTTATTCTGTCCAACTAATAACTGTTTCTGTTTGGGTTTTTGAGAGGCAGGAAAGGGGAGGGGAGACAGAAAGAGAAAGAAAGAGCAAATAAATGCCTGTAGTGACTGGGGTTAGGCCAGGGCTGAAAGCCAAGAGCTGAACGCAAGTTTCTTATGTGAGCGACTTGGACCCGACCATTTGAGCCATCAACCTGGCCTCCCACGGTCTCCTGGATTCTGGAATCAGGAGCCCAAGTCCAGATGGAGCCCAGAAGTTCAGCCATGGGACCTGGGCATCCTGCTTGGTGTCTTCACTGCTAGACTGTGGGCCTTCCCCAGTTGGTCTCTCTTCATTCTTGGATAATACCTGACAGTAGAATTAGAAAAGTTTGATGAATTGAGTTAAAGATGAAGTAGACTTAGCTTGCATACTTGCTTGATGTGAAGTTCAATAAGATCATCGGAAATGCTATGGGAGATGGAAACCAAGAAGTCCCTTCACAAAGGGGAGCCGCCTCCTTTTCAAGAACGGGAGATGTTGGAGGAATCTGCGACACCATAAATACTGTGGCTAGAACTGACTTGTATGATAGTGTGGCACTTGTCATGGTGATATCCTGCATGTTATCACAAGGAGCCTCTCTCTCCCAAATTCAACAGCTGATTAGGTTTTTTTTCTTCATTTTGGTTTAGTATAGTTACAATCACAAATTAATTTTTTTAACAGATTAAATTTTTAGAAAAACAAAAGAGAGTTTTAGTTAGGTTTTGTTTTGAGATTTATTTATTTATTTATTTATTTGAAAAGGCAGATTTACAGAGAGAAGGAGACACACAGAAAGATCTTCTATCTATTGGTCCACCCCCCCAAGTGGCCACAATGGTCAGACAGTACCAATCCAGAGCCAGGAGCCCTGGCCCTCCTCTGTATCTAATGTGTATGTGCAGGGTCCCAAGGACTTGGGCCATCCTTTGCTGCTTTCCGAGACCATAAGCAGGGAGCTGAATGGGAAGTGGAGTAGATGGGACATGCCTACATGGGATTCTGGTGTGTGCATGGCAAGGAATTAGCCATTTAGTCATCGCACTGGGCCCTGTTTTGTTTTTGATAATGGAACTTGTTTGTGTTTAAAATGCTTTTACCTTAAGTGACATTTTCTGATACCATTTATACTCGGGGATTGAGGATTTTCTTTATGAATATTTGCGGAAAGGCAATGAAATACCTGACAACTAGAATTGATGAGCTTTTATTGATCAGCATCCTTGTTGGTATGATAACATCTTAATATACTGGTTGTAGAAGCCTTCTCTGATAGGCATGCACTTTGGAAACCAGAATAAACATACTTGTCCCTTTAGGCAGGCCTGCTGCTTCAGGCTGGCTTTGTAGGATGATCGATGTAGATTCATTCTGTTTCTACAGAATGATTTATGATATATTCAAATAAAAAACCAGAATATTCATCTGAAATTCATCAAGGAATATATAGATGCACACACAAATTCATGTGATCATGTGCCAGAAAGACATTTGGAAAATTACATTCAGAATATTTTTTTAATTCACAAATGAGGATAAAACTTGATTTACTTTAAAAATAAACTATATTTGGTGTTATTATCAAATATCTCAGAAGCTGTTGGATACTAATGCCGTGTTTTTGTCTAGAAAGAAAATTCTTTCTGTTTCTCCCTCTCCACCCAACCCCTACACCATTCATTCTTGTGTGTGTAAACTAAGTCAAAGCATTTACAAGTTAGTTTGGAGATAATTTAGTTCTCTTTGTATTCCCCCTTTTTTTTTTTAAGATTTTATTATTTTTATTTGAAAGACCTGGTTATGGAGAGAAAAAGTGAGAGGTTTTGCATCTGCTGGTTCACTCCCTAAATGGCTACAATAGCCAGGTTGGGCCAGGACAAAGCCAAGAGCCAGAAGCTTCATCCAGGTCTCCCATGTTGGTGACAGAGACCCAAGTACTTGGGCCATCTTCCTTCTGCTTTTCTCAGGCTATTAGCAGGAAACTGGATTGAAGTAGAACAGCCAGGACATGACTCATGCCTATATGGTATGCCAGCATGGCATGTGACAACTTTACCCACTAAGTCATAATGCTATTTTTTTTTTTTAAATTTATGGTTTAGCTGCATAGGTTCTAGTGTTTCCCTAACCCCTCCTCAAATTCCCAACCCCAACTGATTTTCCCACTATTATTACAATAGTAGAGTCCTTCATAAGTAGTCATATGCCCTTTATTCTGCTTTTTAAGTTAAACAAGTTTTGTTGAATTTATACTTCATGATTATCTATATGTCCATTATGGCTTCCAAAGAGAGCTCTTATTTACTGCTCCTTGGGGGCACTGTGCCAGTCACTCCGTAGCTGAGAGAGGAGCCCCTGTCTCAGGCAGCTCTGGGAGGTCCTACATAAAGGGTTGATGCTTTGGCTCAGGTTTTAACCCAACATGTGTCAGGGCCAAGTCTAAGATGGGATTAGGGTGATAGGGAATGCGATTACAGTTCTATCATGGGCTCAGAATGGACACACAGAATACTGAGTGTAAGGCACGAATGAGCAGAGAAGAGTGGATGGACTCTGTCTTGCCTAGGAGCTTCCTGATATTTCAGCTCATTTTAGTATGATTTGGAATTGCCTGAGCTGTTCAGATACAGTGTACAGTAATTTTTCTGTGTTCATGAGAGATTGTGTCCTGAAGGGAACACAGTATGCAATGTACCTAGGGTAGCTAGAGATACAGTGGTTTTGCTTTGGTCATATAAAGTCGGTGATAAGTCTGGTATAGCTGCATAGGTTCTAGTGTTTCCCTAACCCCTCCCCAAATTCCCAACCCTAAGTTGTTCCAAAAGCTGATTTCCAAGTATGCATTTGAATTGCACCTTCACAGTCTGAGCGCAGAGAGGAAGTCCTGTCTAGCAGAGTACTGAGATTCAAAGACAGGTTTAGGTTGCCACATTCAGAAGCTATGTTAATACTGGGAACGTTTAATGTTTGTCTTGCACTTATTTTCTGATCCTTTTAACTTAATATTTGTGAGACTATGAATGGGACTGTTTTGTAGACTATATAAACTGATATGATATTAATAGAAGAAACATTGTTTTGTTCCTTTCTAAGTTCACTAACCAGAGTTCATTAGGGACATTTAAGTTCCTGTATTGATACATATGAAATATGAGTAATATTCTACATATGCTACAGCCCTTGTGGGTATAGATCATCATCACATAGATTTTTTTTGCTGTTATTGAAAGAAATCGAACTGATATCCTGCCTCTCATTTGCAGGTAGGGTTCTTTCACAATCTACTCCTGGAACTCCATCAAAGACCATAACAATATCTGAAAGTGGTGTTATTGGATCAACTTTAAATTCTACAACACAGACACCAAATAAAATAGCCATCTCACCTTTGAAATCGCCAAATAAGGTAAAAAAACAAATGAGCCACGAATACCACATATTATGGTTGATGCCTCTGTTTGTCTTCCTAGTCACTTGATATACTTCAATTTTAATATGTTCCCAAGCAAGTAATATGCATCCAATGCATAGTGTTATCAATTTAGTAATCAAGGCTATTTTGTGGATTACAAAGATTTATTTTAGACACTTAGTAATATAGTAATCATTTTGCATGTTCTGATTTCTACAGCCCATAGCAAAAAAATCTTCGAATGAAGTTCACTTTCTAAGTGTTTAGTTCCTTTTCCATTTATATTGTAGGAAACTTGTTGTCTTTGGATAAAGCACATACACTGTCCATATAAGTAGAACATGTTTAGTGTAAGTTTTCCTAGATAAAGACCTGATTCGTTGCTGGGTGACAGGATCCAGAGCAGTCCAAGCTGCCATCAGATGCTGTTAGCCATATTATTTTATCAGTGTATCATTTTTTGAATGCTTTAAGTCAGATCATTCAAAACATTTTTATAAGTTGTTTTCATTTTAAGGAGATAGAGTACCTATTGTTTACTTTCATATGAAGTTAGCAGTCTAACTTACTTGACTAAGGCAGCCACATGTCGTTGTGCCAATCTCAGCATGTTAAAGCAGTGTGTCTTAGGAGATGTGTTGTTCAGTGGAAAGCCCAGCATTACTATTCTGCAGGTTGCCACCCTTCTCCTTTGATTTGTTACAGCTCATAAACAGAACAGACATTGCACATTTGTCTTAAAGTTTTTGAAGTCCAGCTGTTGGTTTCTGCTCTAAGGAGAATTGCATGTAATATATAAACTTGATGTCTGTCTGTTTTGTTTTTTTTTTTTTAAAGGGGATTCTACCTATATAATAATAAAAATTTTTCTCCTTCTAGATGAAGTGAAGACAGTTAATATTTGGAGTTTACTGTGTGTCCTGCACAGTGGTAGCAGTGGGATTAAAACATGGATATGATTCAATTTTTAATCTCAAGGAGTTGGGAAAGGGAATTAGACTGAGACAGTAACAATTGCCCTCACCCCACCCTGTAGAAGAGCAATGGTCACAGGAGGCTGTAGGAGCTCTGCTTCTTGTGTGTCAGGGGAGAAGGGCCATGCCGGGTAGGCAGCCCTGGCAAGGTCTTAACCCTGGGATGGGAGTACGCTGTGAATGAGTGGCAGGGGACTTTCTAGAGGGAAGTAATACTTCACACGACCATATGTCTGTGTGGCCCTCTCATATGAGCTGCATCACTTTGGTGTGGGAGCCCAGGATGCTAACGTTGGAGAGAACATCTCTTTATCTTCAAAGGAGTTTGGATTGGGCTGCTTGCTCTTGGAGATTGATACGGCTTCCTGTCACCTCCGAGTCAGTGTTTCTCGACTTTATCAACACTCCAGAATCATCTCGGTTGCTTTAATAAATCCTGCTGTCTGTCTGCCTCTTAACCCCAGAAACTGTGTATACATCTGTTTGCAGTTGGCCCTAGGGCCAGGGGTTTCTTAAGTGCCCCTAAGTGATTCACATGGGTGGCCTAGATTGAGAACCACTGTTCTAAATCATAGAAGATTTCCATTTTTAAGAAAATCGTTTTTGAAGCGTTGTGCTGGTGGTTGGGGGTAGGGATGCCTGAACTCTGGGCAAGGCCAGGTAGCCTGGTGACCTCAGTCTTGCCTGTACTTCAGCAGCTCCTGGGGAGCTCTTAAAAAGATAAAGCCAGGTCTGGAATGATGGCTCAGTGGCTAAATCTTTACATTGCATGCATCGGGATCACAAATGGGCTCCTGTTCATGTCCCAGGTGCGCCATTTCCCATTCAGCTCCCTGCTTGTGGCCTGGGAAGGCAGTGGAGAGTGGCCCAAAGCCTTGGGACCTTGTACCCATGTGGGAGACCCAGAAGAGACTCCAGGCTTCTGGTTTCAGATTGGCTCAGCACTTCTCATTGTGGCCACTTAAGGAGTCAGCCAGTAGACGGAGATCTTTCTCTTCATATCTCTTTGTATCTCTTTCTCTAAACCTACCTTTCCAATAAAAATAAATAAATATTCAGAACAACAGCAGCACCAAAAGCTAATGGCTGGCTCCTGCCACCCCGCGTAAACCAGAATCTTTAGGCTGGGCCCTGGTTTTTGGCTTAATACTTTAAAATTCTGAAGTGTACATCAGGGTCGAGAAATCCCAAGGTAGCTGATAGTACCTTGGGTTTTTGGCTAGTAGCCAAGGGACTAGGGGAAAAGAGATGTGCTGGAAGGAGATTTGTGACTTAATGACCGGGGACCCTGCACCCATGTGGGAGACTGGGAAGAAGCTCCTGGCTCCTGGCTTTGGATTGGCTCAGCTCTGGCCGTTGTGGCTGCTTGGGGAGTGAACCATTGGACAGAAAATCTTCCTCTCTGCCTTCCCTCCTATTTATATATCTGCCTTTCTAATAAAAATAAGTGAATCTTTAAAAAGAAAAAAAGAGTTCACTCATAGCTCTTAAGAATGAGCCTGAGGGCCTGGTGTGATAGCATAGTGGTTAAAGTCCTCACTTTGTACGTGCCGGGATCCCATGTGGATGCCAGTTCTAATCCTGGTGGCCCTGCTTCCCATCCAGCTCCTTGCTTGTGGCCTGGGAAAGCAGTGGAGGACAGCCCAAAGCCTTGGGACCCTGCACCGGTATGGGAGACCCTGGCTCCTGACTTTGGATTGGCTCAGCTCCAGCCATTGCAGTCACTTGGGGAGTGAACTGTCGGACGGAAGATCTTCTTCTCTGTCTCTCCTCCACTGTGTCTTTCCTCCTCTGTTTATCCGCCTTTCCAAATAAAAAAAAAAAGAGCCTGGGCATAAGCCTCATGGGATGGTAGGTTAAGTGGCACACCCACATTCTGTACTAGAGTGCTTCGTTCAAATCCTGGTTACTCTTTACTTCCAGTTCACCTTCTTGGGAGGTCATGGCTCAAGTACCTGTGTCCTTGCCACCCACATCTGAAATCCAAATGGAGTTCCTGGCCTCTGCCTTCCTACAATATGTTGCGACTGCAGGCATCTGGAGTGAGCAGTCAGAATATATCACTCTGGTTTTCTTCCTCACTCTCATTCTACCCTTCAAAGAAAAACAGAAAAGAACAGACCTTATCCTGATGATTAAGTATGAGAAGTTCAGGCCAGCACGAATGGGAGCCTTCTCTTGCCCCTTGGCAGGCCTATCTGTGTAGCTCAGGGATCTATAGCAGGCAGGAGGAATGCAGTCTGCTACCTTCTCCCACTTTCCACTTTAGATTCAGAAGGAAGATTAGTGGAGAAAGGAATAAGTTTTACCTGACTAGGACTGTTGTGATCTGGCTGCCAGTGGCCTCTGTGTGACGGGTATACAAATGTGAACTTTCAGAGGTGTGACCTTAGGGTCGTTTTTGGGATATCCCCGGCGGGTTGTCCACATTACCCAGCTTCCTTTCAGCTAGGGTGTACATTCCCACCACCTTTTGCAATTCCCTTGTAGCTGTCACCTCTTAAATTGAGCCCATCCTGTTTCTGATAAATATCTTAACTCCATAAGGCACATGTCTTTGACAGGGGCCCCTTAAGATGTCTCCGCTCCTCTGCAGCACTTCCTTGGCCGATGGGAAACCACTGGTACAAGTACAGCTTGCGAATCTGTGCCGTTGTGACAGCTACCTGCATCTTGTTTTTTGCCAAATGTTCCAGGTTAGGCTCAGGCTGTATCTGCGTGTTTCTGAGGACGTGTCAGATTCTCCTGAGAACATTTTGTCCTGTTTTAGAGGCCTGCTCCAAGGGGCGTGTAAGAGTGCTTTTATCTTTTTTTTTTTTAAGATTTATTTTATTTTTATTAGAAAGGCGGATATACAGAGAGGAGAGACAGAGAGGAAGATCTTCCGCTCGGTGATTCACTCCCCAAGTGGCCACAACAGCTGGAGCTGAGCCAATCCGAAGCCAGGAGCCTCTTCCTGGTCTCCCACATGGGTGCAGGGTCCCAAAGCCTTTGGCGGTCCTCAACTGCTTGCCAGGCCACAAGCAGGGAGCTGGATGGGAAGTGGGGTCGCTGGGATTAGAACTGGCAACCATATGGGATCCCAGCACGTGCAAAGTGAGGACCTTAACTATTATGCCACCGCACTGGGCCCAAGAGTGCTTTTATCTTAACGCGTTGGCAGCTTACCATTCAGGCATTGGCATCTCCTCACTCAGTATCAACCACGTGGCATCGGAGGGTTCCTGGGGGAATCTGCCTTTGTTCTACCTAATCTGTGAGGAAGCTCTAACATCCTGTATGTTTACAAGTCTGCCATGCATGTCTTGCCTTTCTTTTTACATAAGGTATGGACAGGTTTATCATTTGTAGCTCTCACTGTTGAAGTCTCAGCCAAATTTAGAGATCTCTCGAGTTAGAAAGAGAATGCGTAAGAAATAGCTGGTTTGGGTAGACAGATGTTTAGTTCTTGGGCCTGTCTTGAAGTACCCACTGATCATCTGGAGGAGGGTGCCCATGGGGAAGCTGAATAACCGTGGTGACTGAGTTCTGTACTTAGTTGAAACTGCCCAAGGAGTGCATGCGGTTGTAGGTAGAGCAGAGCCGACCACAGAATAGTGCGTGTTAGAAGAAAAGGAGTAAGTGGAAGACAATGATACTGGCCACCATTTTGGGTATCCTACAAAAGTCAGGAATAAGTTAAAAAAAAAGTTGCTGACACCCTGCTTGCTCAGGCTGTCAGTTCAGAAGGACACCCACGCACTTGCTGTTACTCCCCTTCCAGCAAATCTGACCACCCCCATCTGCCTTGAATCCACTGGAGTAGCTCTCACTGTACTGTTCTACTGTTCTTTGCTGTTGTTGGATGACACCAGAAAGCCCCAATTCTGTGACCCCCCCCCCCCATTGAATCCCCCTAAGGCTCTCCATGTCTCCTCTGCTTACCCCCACGTGACATCCCTCCACTGTGCCCCTGGCTTGATTTTGTGATCCAGAAGGTCCTTGAGTCTGCAGCCTTTCTACTGCGAGGTACTTTACTCC